CCACATTTTCCCTGTCCAGTCTATCATCGATGGGCATTTGGGTTGGTTCCATGTCTTTGCTATTGTAAACAGTGCTGCAATGAACATTCGTGTGCATCTGTCCTTAAATAGAATGATTTAAAATCCTTTGGCTATATACCCAGTAATGGGATTGCTGGGTCAAATGGAATTTCTGTTTCTAAGTCCTTGAGGAATTGCCACACTGTTTTCCACAATGGTTGAACTAGTTTACAGTCCCACCAACAATGTAAAAGTGTTCCTATTTCTCCACATCCTCTTCAGCATCTGTTGTCTCCAGATTTTTTAATGATCGTTATTCTAACCGGCGTGGGATGGTATCTCAATGTAGTTTTGATTTGCATTTCTCTAATGACCAGTGATGATGAGCATTTTTTTCATATGTTTGTTGGTCTCATATATGTCTTCTTTTGTAAAGTGTCTGTTCATATCCTTTGCCCACTTTTGAATGGGATTATTTGTTTTTTTCTTGTAAATCTGTTTTAGTTCTTTGTAGATTTTGGATAAAAGTCCTTTGTCAGATAGGTAGATTGCAAAAATTTTTTTTCCATTCTGTTGGTTGCTGGTTCACACTAATGAGTGTTTTTTGTTTTTTGTTTTTGCTGTGCAGAAACTCTGGAGTTTAATTAGATCCCATTTGTCTATTTTGGCTTTTGTTGCCAATGCTTTCAGTGTTTTAGTCATGAAGTCCTTGTCTATACCTATGTCTTTAATGGTTTTGCCTAGGTTTTCTTCTAAGGCTTTTATGGTGTTAGGTCTTATGTTTGAGTCTTTAATCCATCTGGAGTTAATTTTAGTATAAGGTGTCTGGAAGGCGTCCAGTTTCTGCTTTCTGCACATGGCTAGCCAGTTTTCCCAACACCATTTATTAAACAGGGAATCCTTTCCCCATTGCTTGTTTTTGTCAGGTTCGTCAAAGATCAGATGATTGTAGATCTGTGGTATTGCCTCTGAGGCCTCTGTTCTGTTCCATTGATCTATGGGGAAGAGGGTAACTTTTCCCATTTGTAAGATGATAGATATGTTAATTGGTTCCACCACAGTTAACATTTTATATATTTCTATATATACTTATATATACATACATATATATATATCTTATAACATCATGTTGCTTTTCTTAAATATACACAATAAAATTTATTTTAAAAAGCCAAACAATTGTATATACATTCCATAAAATACTATTCAGCAATAAAAAGGAACAAACTATTAATATACACAGCAACTTAGATGAATATCTATAGAGTTTCTGAATTTATAAAAGCCAACCTGAGAAGGATATGTATCATATTATTCTTCTAGAAAGAGGGATATTTGTGGAGATGGAACTGTTCACTCTCTTGATTGTGATGATGAGCACACTGAATTACACACATAATATCGTATAGTACTACATGCATATACAGATAAACTGACTGGGGAAATATTAATAAAATCAGTGGATTGTATCAATATCAAGATCCTGGTATTATACTTCATTGTACCATACTAGCATCTTGATGTTGATACTATTATACTACAGTTTTGTAAAATATTACCGTTAGGAGAAACAAGGCAATGAATATATGATTTCTCCTTGTGTCATTTCTTGTAACTGCATGAAAATCTATAATAATCTAAAAAAATATTTCAATTAAAAACAGAGATATAGATCAATGGAACAGAACAGAGACCTTGGAAGCAATGTCACACATCTACAACCATCTGATAACCTGACAAAAACAAGCAATGGGGAAAGGATTCCCTGTTTAATAAATGGTGTTGGGAAAACTGGCTACCCATGTGCAGAAAGCAGAAACTGGACCCCTTCCTGACACCTTACATTAAAATTAACTCCAGATGGATTAAAGGCTTAACATAAGACCTAACACCATAAAAACCATAGAAGAAAACCTAGGCAATACCATTCAGAACATAGGCATAGGCAAGGACTTCATGACTAAAACACCGAAAGCAATGGCAACAAAAGCCAAAATAGACAAATGGGATCTAATTAAGCTTAAGAGTTTCTGCACAGCAAAAGAAACTATCATTAGATTGAACTGGCAACCAGCAGAATGGGAAAAATTTTTTGCACTCTACCCATCTGTCAAAGGTCTAATATCCAGAATCTACAAAGAACTAAAGCAGATTACAAGAAAAAAACAACAACAACAACAACAAAAAACCATTCAAAAGTGAGTGAAGGATATGAGCGCTTTTCAAAAGAAGACATACATGAGGCCAACAAACATATTTTAAAAAATGCTCATCACTGGTCATTAGAGAAATGCAAATCAAAACCACATTGAGATTCCATCTCATGCCAGTTAAAATGGCAATCATTAAAAAAATCTGGAGACAACAGAAGTGGGAGAGGATGTGGAGAAATAGGAACACTTTTACACCATTGGTGGGTGTATAAATTAGTTCAACCATTGTGGAAGACAGTGTGGTGATTCCTCAAGGATCCAGAAATAGAAATTCCATTTGACTCAGCAATCCCATTACTGGGTATATATCCAAAGGATTATAAATCATTCTATTGTAAAGACACATGCACATGAATGTTCATTGTGGCACTGTTTACAATAGCAAAGACCTGAAACCAATGCAAATGCCCATTAATGATAGACTGAACAAAGAAAATGTGGCACATATACACCATGGAATACAATGCAGCCGTAAAAAAACAGAGAGTTTGTGTCCTTTGTAGGGACATGGATGATTCTGGAAACCATCATTCTCAGCAAAGTGACACAAGAACAGAAAACTAAACACCACATGTTCTCCCTCATAGGTGGGTGTTGAACAATGAGAACACATGGGCACAGGGAGGGAAACATCACACACTGGGGTATGTTGGGGGGTGGGGGGCGGGAGGCTAGGGGAGGGACAGTGGGGGATGGGGAGATTGAGGAGGGATAACACTGGGAGAAATGCCTGATGTAGGTGATGAGGGGATGGAGACAACAAACTACCATGGCCTGTGTGTACCTATGCAACAATCCTGCAGGATCTGCACATGTACCCCAGAACTTAAAGTACAATTAAAAAAAAAAGAAAATTTTCTATTAGCTAAGTGAGTTAATGAATTAAACTTGTAATTTTAAAGGCTTAAACTCCCCTGCAAAAATTTCAGAGTATGCCCCCTTTTGTTTATTATGAGTTTAATAGCAATTCTTCTTTTCCTGGGCCGCATGCACACTTTCACTAATTTGTTTAGCAAACATTGACTGATTATCTACTATGTTGCAAGCACTGCCTTCAAGCACTGCCTTCAAGCACTGCACTGTTGCTTGGGCAATGGAACTGCTGTGTTTCTCTCTAAGTCTATTTGAAAAATAGTTGTTTCATTTTGGAAGTAATGGTGTCAGCCACAATATTTGGGCAAAGAGCAAAAGAGAGATAAAATGGAATTGGCTAATGTTAAAATCAAAGCCTCACCGAAAACAGTAATGTGCATTGAAGCAGAGAATTGTCCTCAAGGAGAAAAGACATAATCCATATTGAAATTGTGCCTGAAGCACTTCATTGTACTGTATTTAAAATGTTTAAAGAAAGCTTGGAACAAATAAAGCCCTGAAAACATCTTTCAAATTGAAAAAAAAAAAATGAAAAAGGTGGAAAAGTTATGTCATGCAAACTATAAGAAACCTGAAACAGTCATGTTAATATTAAAAAATATATAATTCAAAATGAGCATCACTAGAGACAGAGGCATAGTTTATAATGATAAAATAAACAATTCATCTGGATTCCTGAAACTAGCATGGAAAAGATCCTCCAATGTGCTATATATAAATGAATAAAGAAGCCTAAGGAAATAAACTCCTATATGAGCTGCCTTTCTCCTCTATTTACATTTCATAGAATTTAAATTTATATGAGTTCCTCATGTGACTGAACCTGAAGCATAATGTCAATTAACAAAAGATAGTAATGCCATCACATTCCACTTTGCTTTAATTAAAAGCAAAACATTGTAATAGAGATTTGACTTTATTCACCATTTTAATCTAAATTCATAACTAAAGCAGAAAAACTCTGGCTTTCTGTTCTTTTCATGGGAAAATTATAAAGCAGTTTACTTTTGTGTCTCTCAAATTTCACTTCCTTGAAATAACTGAACACAGTTTAACAGATTTCTTTTATTTAGAGAACATGTACATGCCAAAGTCCAATGTTAATTTCATAAGTCACATTAGGACAAGCATATTTAGAGAGTAAACCTTTAAATAGATTGTATTGTCAATAGCTGAAAGCATCTCTGCTAACCTCCTGATCTCAAAAGAACTGAGGAAGCTGTTTCCACTAGGGCTCTGTTGCAGTAGTGAGTTGGGGCCCGTGGGTGAGAAATTGATGCAAGGATCAATACAAGCTTAATTTGAACTAATAAAAGGAAATATTTTCTTCCTTTGAACTTATCTTCGTAAAGCAGTTGTGCCTCCTCTTGGAGCTCACGTGTTCACAATCAATGGCCTTTGAGGATCTCTTGAATCAAGTTGGAGGTCTTGGGAGATTTCAGATCCTCCAACTGGCTCTTATTTTTCCCTCTTTCATGTTACTTACCCCTCATTTACTGCTGGAGAACTTCACTGCATTCATTCCTGGTCATCGTTGCTGGGTCCACATCCTGGACAATAATACTGTATCTGATAATGACACTGGAATCCTCAGTGAAGATGCGCTCCTGAGAATCTCCATCCCGCTGGACTCAAACCTGAGGCCAGAGAAGTGTCGTCGCTTTGTCCATCCCCAATGGCAGCTTCTTCACCTGAATGAGACTATCCACAACACAAGTGAAGCAGACACAGAGCGCTGTGTGGATGGTTGGGTGTATGACCGAAGCTACTTCCCTTCAAACATTGTGACTAAGGTAAAAGTTCCCGTTAACCAGTTCTGGATACAAAATCTAAGCGTTTAGAAGAACATAAACATGCTTTAACCCTCTAGTTATTGTGTAGATACTATAGTCACCTCTCAGTCACTCTTTTGGAAAATAGTGATTTTGTTGTTGTTATTTATTTATTTATTTTGAGATGGAGTCTCGCTTTGTCACTAGGCTGGAGTTACTCCTGACCTCAAGTGACCCACCCGCCTGGGCCTCCCAAACTGCTGGAATTACAGGTGTTAGCCACTGCGCCTGGCTGCTTATTTTTTAATTGCCAGCCACTTGCATCAAATTTGAGGCAGTGAACTCAACCAACTAGATATAAATACAGCTATCACAAAACTAGTGTGAAGAGAAGACTAATGATTAGAAAAATATTCTTCCTGGTCACTTGTTCTCAGCCTAAGTTGCAAATTGGAAACAACTGTGTTATTTTAAAAATCTGCATGCTTTGGCTACGTGTTAGAAAAGCAAATCAGAGTGGATTTCATGCTGGCATTTATGTTTAAAAAAAAAATCTCCAGCCGGGTGCGGTGGCTCACGCCTGTAATCCCAGCACTTTGGGAGCCCAAGGAGGGTGGATCACGAGGTCAAGAGATCAAGACCATCCTGGCCAACATGGTGAAACCCCATCTCTACTAAAAAAATACAAAAATTAGCTGGGCATGGTGGTGCGTGCCTGTAGTCCCAGCTACTCGGGAGGCTGAGGCAGGAGAATTGCTTGAACCCGGTTGGCGGAGGTTGCAGTGTGCCAAGTACATGCCACTGCACTCTAGCCTGGCGCCTGGTGACAGAGCGAGACTCTGTCTCAAAAAACAAAAACAAAAACAAAAAACAAAACAAAACCAAAAAAAACACACCAAACTCCTTAATGTGTTTAATGTGCAGCAAAAAATTGAGAACCACTGAATTATGCAGTGCTGAGTGAATGTAAAGACAGATATTAATATAATCTGCAAGGTTTTGGGTGAGAATTTCCAGCGAAAGCCATGCTTACGCCAAGATTTGAATGGTATAGGTAAGAAAATGTAGTAAAAAGAGGCTAGAGAGTATGTCCACTGAAAGCTAATGCAGCAAGTGAACACTGAGAAGTCAAAAGCTGCTGTGAAGCTATGTTGTATTGGTTTCCTTCTCTTCCAGTGGGACATGGTATGTGATTATCGGTCACTGAAATCCGTGGTTCAATTCCTGCTTCTGACTGGAATGCTGGTGGGAAGCATCATAGGTGGCCATTTCTCAGACAAGTGAGTGTCTCCAGATCAGGGTTATCATTACTCTGCAGTGTTTTCATCAGCTTACAATTAATTCTTTCACAAAGAAGTGTTATTGAGTTATAATATGCAATTTATGCTGTTAGTGCTGCTTTGTTCCCCAGAGAGCTAGATACAGAAATGAATTAAAGTGAATTTAGTGAGGGCCATTTTGTTGCCACAGAGATCTCTAAACAGTGTCTCAGTATAGGATACTGAAATGACATCTCCATCGGACTAGGGGAATTTCAGAACAGAATCTAGAGAGTAGATACCATGTTACATAGTTTAGAAGGATGTGACTGAGTTACCTACAGGAAGAGAAGGGAAGGTGCTTCAAGATAGGAAATTCAGCCTCTTTAAAGACACAAATATATGAAATGGTGTGTAGACCTCGGCCAGGGATGTTTTGTTAGGTCCCTCCTGGACTCTGTGAGCTAAATGCTTGTGGATTCCCAGCCTGGTCGTCATTATCACAATTACCCCACTGTAATGAGTAGGTGTGTTAATCTGTTCTCATTCTGCTAATAAAGACATACCTAAGACTGGGTAATTTATAAAGGAAAGGGGTTTAATCAACTCACAGTTCCACATGGCTTGGAGGCCTCACAATTTTGGTGGAAAGCAAATGAACAAATTCATGTCTCAAATGGTGGCAGACAAGAAAGTGTGTTCAGGGGAACTCCTCCTCTTTATAAAGCCATCAGATCTCATGAGACTTTTTCGCTCTCAGGAGAACATCATGGGAAAAACCAGCCCCCATGATTTAATTACCTCCCACTGGCTCCCTCCCATGACACATGGGGATTATTACAATTCAACATGAGATTTGGTTGGGGACACAGAGCCAAACCATAACAATATAAATTTTAAAGTAATGTCTTTTTTTTTTTTTTTTTAGTTCTGTGAAGAATCTCAATGGTAGTTTAATAGGAATAGCTTTAAATCTATAAATTGCTTTGGCCATGTATTAGTCCACTCTCATGCTGCTACAAAAAACTCCCTGAGGCTGGGTAATTTATAAAGAAAAGAGGTTTAATTGACTGACAGTTCAGCATGACTAGGGAGACCTCAGGAAACGTACAATTGTGGTGGAAGGGGAAGCAAACACATCCTTATTCACATGGTGGCAGGAAAGAGAAGTGCAGAGTGAAGGGCGTGAAAGCCCCTTGTAAAACTGTCAGATCTCATGAGAACTCACTCACTATAGTTAAACCAACATGGAGGTAACACCTCCATGTTTCAATTGATTCAATTACCTCTCACCAGGTCCCCCTTAAAACACATGGGGATTATGGGAACTACAGTTCAAGATGAGATTTGTGTGAGGATACAGACAAACCATTTCAAGGCATTATAACCATTTTTACAATATTGACTCTTTCTATTCATGAGCATGGAATGGTTTTCCATTTTTTGTGTCATCTTTGACTTCTTTAAGTAGTTTTGTAGTTCTCCTTGTAGACATCTTTCACTTCACTAGTTAGCTGTATTCCTAGATATTTTATTCTTTTGTGGCAATTGTGAATGGGATTGCATTCCTGATTTGGCTTTCAGCTTGACTGTTCTTGGTGTATAAGAAAGTTAGCAACTTCTGCACATTGACATTCTATCCTGAGACTTTGCTGAAGTTGTTTTTCAGCTTTAAAAGCTTTTGGGCTGAGACTCTGGGGGTTTATAGATACAGTATCATGTCATCTGCAAACAGGGATAGTTTGACTTCCTCTCTTCCTATTTGGATGCTCTTTATTTCTTACTCTTGCCTGATTGCCCTACCTATGACTTCCAATACTATGTTGAATAGGAGTGGTGTCTTATGCCAATTTACAAGGTGAATGTGTTGAGCTTTTGCTTATTCAATATGATGTCGGTTGTGGGTTTGTCATATATGGCTCTTGTTCTTTTGAGGCATGTTTCTTCAATACCTACTTTATTGAAGGTTTTTAATATGAAATGTTGTTGAATTTTATCAAAAGCCTTTTCTTGATCTATTTAGATAATTGTGTGGTTTTTGTCTTTAGTTCTGTTTATGTGATGAATCAGACATACTTATTTACAAATATTGAACCAATCTTGCATCCCAGGGATAAGATATACTTGATTATGATGGATAATCTTTCTGATATGCTGCTGGATTTGGTTTGC